AATAGGATAGACCCCAAAAGAAAATCACCCAGACATATCACAGACATATCATCATCAAACTTACCAAAACCAAAGGCAAAGAAAGAATCATGAGAGCAGCACAGGAAAAACGAAAAGTTACCTACAAGGGGGAACCAATAAGACTAAGCTCATATTTCTTGACAGAAACCATGCAGGCGAGAAGACAATGGGATGGTGTATACAAAACACTGAAAGAGAAAAATTTCCAAACAAGAATTATGTACCCAGGGAAATTGTCCCTCAAATATGATGGTGAAATTGGGACATTTCCAGATAAGCAGAAATTAAGGGAATTTGTTAAAACCAGACCAACCTTACAAAAGATGCTAAAGGGTGCCCTTTGAACAGAGAATCAACAACAGCCAACAACTGACCATTAACACACATGATGATATAACCCAGCTATGGAAGTATCCAAAGTAAATAAACCAACAAGATTGTAAACAGGGAACTCAAGACATCAATTGACAAATGAGGACAACTACAAACAAAAAAGAGGGAAAAATCTGTGTTGTTACAGAACTTCTAAATGGTAGGGAAGTCACGACAACTACAAGATAGAATGGATTGTTCTAAACTTGGGAAGAAAACTAGAAATCACAGGGTAACCTCAAAGAAGAGAACCAGCATAAATATTCAGCAAATACTAAAACAATAGCAATGAAGCAAGTGATAACACAATTCATAACAAAATTAGCTCAGCATAGAAAATTATATAAGAAAGAACAAGACAAAGAACTAAGAAATCGACACCATGAAAAAGCACATAACAAAAACGACAGCAACAAATTCCTATTTGCCAATAATTACATATCTGTCAAGGGACTTATCTCTAAGATTTATGGTGGAAGAGTGGATGAACAAACTATGGAACATACACATAATGGAATGCTATGCAGCACTAAAGAATAATGTAGAGTCTGCAAAACACTGCATAATATAGATGAACTTGGAGGACATTATGCTGAGTGAAATAAGTCAATCACAGAAAGACAAATATAGTATTAGTTCGTTGCTGTGGAGGGTCAAGGAAAGGTTTCTATATGGAGGGAAACTTTCTTTGTTGGTTGCCAGGGGTGGGAGGGTAGGGAGGGAACACTGGAAAAAAAATACATTGACTCATGTCACTTTAGTTTTGTGTCTTTCCTGTACATAGATTATATTTCAGTAAAATGCATTTTAAAAAAAATGCTGGTGAGGATGTGGGGGATGGGAACTCACACACTGGTGAGACTAAAATGGTGCAACTGCTATGGGAGATGGTATGATGTTCCCTAAAATGCCAGAAATAGAAATACCACGTGATCCAGCAATGCCCTCCTAGGTCTAGATCCCAGAGCTAGAAGAGCTGGGACACAAGGAGACGCGTGCACACCAGTGCCCCTCACAGCATCGTTCACAATCGCACAAAGATGGAAGCAACCAAAGTGTCCATCAACGGGTAGATGGCTAAGCAAACTGTGGTCCCCATGGAATACTACACAGCGATAAGGAATGATGATGAGTCCGTGAAACCCCTCACAACATGGATGAATCTGGAGGACATTATGCTGAGAGAAACACGTCAACCACAAAGGGACAAATGTTGTATGAGGCCACTTTTATAAAGAGTCATGAATAAGTTAACTCACAGAAAGCAACATCCTCTGAAGATTACCAGGGATGGGAGAGAGAGGGAGAATCACTAACTAGTCAAACCCAAACCCACTGCCAGTGAGTCAATTCCACCTCACAGCAACCCTATAGGACAGAGTAGAACTGTCCCATGAGGTTTCCAAGGCTATAAATTTTTATGGAAGCAGACTGCCTCATCTTTCTCCCATGGAGCACCTGGTGGGTTCGAACTGCCAACTTTTGGTTAGCAGCCAAATACTTTAGACACATGTGAGTCTGGGTGAAGGCAAAGGTAATACACCATATAGACAAAGTCAGCAAAACGTGACGCAGGCAAAGGAAGACACGGAGAGGTATGCGAGGAAAAAGGGCGATTATGGTAAATTCTACATCTATAATCCTGCAACAACAGTGATAACAAACATAGTTCATGGATGGACACAAAGTAGCTATGTACGGAAAACAGATGCAGGAGGTTGAGGGAGTCCCACTTCCTACGTACATACGTACATACATACACACGTACACATGTGCATACGTACGCACATACGTACATACATATGTACACACGTACATACATACATGCGTACATAGGTATACACGTACATACCCATGGTCATGGATGTCTCTGCATACACACTGGTAAGTGCTGCACGTTTATACGCTGAGCTATGGACACTTCTCAGACATATCCAAACACCTTGTGGGGCTGAGCTACCAGGCTTGAAAGCTAGGGACGTAGTGTCGGGGGACATCTAGGTCAGCTGGCATGTCATAGTTCACAAAGAAAATGTGCTACGTCCTAGTTTGGTGAGGGTGTCTATGGTCTTAAAAGCTTCTGAGTGCCCATCTAAGGTACAACTGTTGGTCTCTTCTTGTCGAGAGCGGAGGAGGGTGACGGAAACCAAAGACTCAGGAAGCAATTAGTCCGAAGGACTCATGGCCCACACGCACGACAGCCTCCGCTGGCCTGAGACCAGAAGAACCAGATGGTGCCCAGTTACCTCTGCCGACCACCCTGACCAGGGACACAATAGAAGGTCCCAGTTAGAGTGAGCTAAATGTGTACAACAAAATTCATAGTCATAAGATAGGCCAGACCTACTGGTCTAGGGACTGGAGGATCGCCCAAGACTATTGCCCTAAGACAGCCTTCTAACCTGGGACTGAAGCCACTCCCCAGAGATCACCTTTCAGCCAAATGACAGACTGGCCTATGAAACACAGGCCACGGGATGGGCTGTCTTCCTCAGAACCATCAGCTGTAAGAGAACAAAAAGGTGACAGCTGCCCAGAAGCCAAGATGAGAAGATGGTGGTGTTGGGGGGAGGGGGGGGCAGAAGAACCAGATGGAAGGAAGTGGGGAGAGTGCCAACACACTGCAGGGATCCAAGGCCCCAGAACAGTCTGTGTGAATTATTGATAGGAAAACTAATTTGCCGTGTCAAGTTTCACCTGAAGCCCAATAAACTGTTCAAAAAAAGACAAGAAGGTCTCAGAAGGTGTCTCTCCTGAAGACCAAGCAGCTTTCCAGCAGCTGCAGTGGACCCTGCCCTGACCCAGTCTGGAAGCCTTAGTCAGCCACCACGGGCAGGACGAGCCAACAGCAGGAGGGGGTGGCCTCTGGGCACCAGAGGCCCCAAGCAGGAGGCCGAGCTGGGGTCCTGGGCAGCAGCAGTGTGTCCCGGCTGCCACGTCTCCTGGGAGAGTGGGAGCTCCAGAGCTGCCCCCACCCGGAGAGGTGGAGGGAGAGACCCCAGGAGCCCAGGAGAGGGTGTCAGGTTGCAGAAGTGCAGGCATCTCCATTCACTCCACAGAGACTTATGGTGGAAGACAAGGAGACCTGGTGGCACAATGATCAAGCTGCTAACCGTGAGGCTGGTGGTTCAAACCCACCAGCCGCTCCTCGAGAGACAGCCCTGGAGATCTGCTCCCGTAAAGACGACAGCCTGGAAAACCCTATGGGGCAGTCGTACTCCATCACTTAGGGTCTCCATGAGATGGAATTGACTCAACTCAACGGCACCTAACAGCAGCAAGAGTGCGAACACATGTTATCAGCCGAATCATTGCCTCTGGAAAAACAGGTTAACTTCCTCACTAGCAGCACCACCACCCATGAAATGGTTTGGCAATGGGGTGTTTGAAGATGTTCTCAGGTCACGTGACATCACACTGGAGTAGGGTGGGTCCTGATCCCATCTGCGTGGTGTCCATATAAGAGAGAAGAGGGAAGCAGAGAGAGGCAGCTACATCCAAGGAATGCCGGGGGCACCAGGAGCTGGGAGAGGCAAGGACGGTCTCCCCCAGAGCCTTGTGAGAGAGCGTGGCACAGAGGATGTCCTGCACCCAGGCTGCCAGCCTGCAGAACTGCCAGAGAATACATTTCTGTTATTATGAGCCACGTGGTTTGTGGGGGTCTATTATGAAGTCGCAGGACACTCACACAACACACACGGTGAATAAATGTGAGCGGGGACAATGAGGACGCTGCCCATAGCCGAGGCTTCTCCAACCTGCCAGACGCCCACAGTCGAGGCAAGAAAGCGGGCGGGACTCACAAACTTGGTGACTGAATCAAGCCAGGGTTCAAAGCTGGAAGAGTAGGCACTGTTTCTCACAACACTGAAACGATTGTCTTTTGGGATAAAAACAGCCCCTCAGCATCTTTATTCTCCCGGGTGCAGCTTTGGGACCATGGTCAAGCTTCTTGGGAACTGGCCCCCTCATTCGTCCCTGGTCAATGGTGGTGTAGAGAGCCTGCATCCTGGAGCCCCTGGCAGACAGGGACCCTGGCTCTGTTCCCTGGGCCCAGCAATTCACGTCTGTTGAGGTCTAATCGGCCGGAAAAGGGGCTCACCAAAGCCATTTATGACCCATGATGGCCACTCCTCCAAAGGAAAGTTGGGTGATCTACTTCTGTAGTGACACCACCTCGGAAGCCCAAGGAGGGGTCGCTGTGAGTCGGGTTCCACTCGACAGCAGTGACTTTGGTGGTTGTTTTTTAATGGTCTCAAGGTCATCAAACCGTTTGCTTCTGTGGATTTTGTTCTGGTTGCTGATTGGTGACTTAGGAGGCCCCACGTGTTACAACTGCCCCACGGAATTTCCTTGGCTGTACCCTTTATGGGAACAGATGACCAGATGTTTCTCTGGGACCGCTGGGGGGTTCAAGCTGCCAGCCCTTCGAGCCCAAGCTGTCTGCACGCCCGATACCTTCCAAACTCTTTGACGGTGGTGCCGGGACACCAAGGCAGCGCTGCACGGCCGTGAAGGACCTGCAGCCCAGGGTTACAGGCGGCCCCGACAGCGCTTAGCTGGAACCCCACGGAGTCGCTCTTGTCCTGAGACGGGGCTTCGTCTACATGCTGTCAGCATTTGGGAGCCAAGCAGGTCCTCCAACCTGTGGGCAAGGACCGCTTCGCATCTGCGCAGGGCCCAGGGCCGCGCCCCCTGCCGACCCCCGGCGCCAGGTCACCAGCCCGGAGTTTCCCGGCTTCCTCCGGGCCTCCCTGCGCCTTCCAGCCCCGCGCCCTCTGTCCTTACCGGTGTCGCCCTCTGGCGGCAACGCGGTGCGCTGCGCACTGCAACCTGAGACGGGCCTCGGCCACCGTGGGGAAGTCCTGGTCTTCCGGGAAAGTGGTGCAGCCCGCGAGGCTGCCGGGACAAGTCCCAGGAGGATGGTTCGCTTCCTTGGTCCCCTGCAGCCGAGCCCGCAGAGAGCTGGCAGGCCCAAACCTTTGAGTGGAGCCTTGCTCTTCAAGACCGAGAGCCTGTGGCATGAGCGAGGGTGAGCTCCCAGAGCTCAGCCTAAGACCAGTCCCGAAGGGGCGCTGGCCCAGGCACCCCCATTGTGTTCAGGGAGGCTAGGGTGCCACAGGGAGTTCCGCTGGTGACAGTCTGGAGACACCGCAGGGCAGGGGCAAACCCCGGGAGGGGCGCCCGTCCGCCTCGTTCCTGGAGCTCAGCTCCTGGCCAGGTCCAGCTCCGACAGGTGGAAGCCGGCTGCCCCTTGGAGTTGAGCAGGGTGTCCAGAACCGTGAGCGGTGGGACTCAGAGCCAGGATGACAAGCCAGGGTTGGGCATTTTAGGCATTGAACTGTGTCCCCCCAAAAATATGTGAATTCCGGGCCTGTAGAAAGGGGCCCTAGGGGTGCAGTGATTAAAGCCCTCAGCTGTTGGCCGAAAGGTCAGCCGTTCAGCCACCGTTCAGAGCACAAAGACGCAACCGTCTGCTTCCATGAGGATGACAGCCTCAGACAGCCTATGGGGCAGTTCTGCTCTGTTGCTTGGGGTCCCTGTGAGTCAGAAGTGACTCCACAGCAGTGAAGGTGACCCCATTTGGGGACAGGGGCCTTCTGTAGTCATGTCGATGAGGTCACTGCAGAGTGCGGGATGGGGCCTAGACCTAGTCACAGCTGAGGTACAGGAAGACAGAGCGGACAGACACACAGCATGGACAGACGCCAAGGAGCCCCAAGGGCTGCCAGGATGCCCAGAAGCCGGGGGAAGGCCCACAGAAGGAACAGGCGTAGCTGAAACCCCGACAGGGACTTCCAGCCTCTGACCTGTGAGCAGTAGTGTCTGTTCCTGAAGGCCGCGCCCCTGTGGTGTTTGCGTTACAGCGGCTCTAGGACACCAAGGCACGCTCTTGCCAGCGCCACACCACCCCCGCCCTGCTCCCCTGTCCCTCCCCTGCCCCACCCGGGTCTTTCCAAGTGTTGCGCCTCAGATCCAGGCAGATCAGCTCAGAAAGGGGGGCGTCCACCCACGGGCAAAGTGGGGCTCCTCGACATCCCAGCAAGTAGGCTGTGTAGTCACACACACGATGCTGCTGCTGTTGTGGGGGGCTGTCCAGGTGGCTCCAACGCGTGGTCCTGAGGGACGATGGTTACACACGCACGCACGCACACGCACACGCATGCACACTCACGCGCGCACACACACGATACTTGCTCTCAATCCCCATATGCCTTGTCCTGCAGGACAGGATTCTGGGAGGGGAACCCCACCTTCTGGAGCAGAGCCAGTCTTTGTTTGGACCTGCAGAGAGAGGGCAGCGGGTGACTCAGGGCCTGTTTTCCTGCTGGGCGTGCCCCTTCTCCACCCTCCGTGGGCGAGCCCGTGCGTCTGGGAGGAGTGCTGTCAACCGTTGCAGCCTGACCATCCTACTGGAACGTCCCTCCACGGGGGTCACTTCTGTGGCAGCCAACAGCCCTGGATGAGCCACAGAAGGAGGCAGGAATGAGACTGGCGTGTCACGCCCAGCTGACAGTCCCCCGAGTCAGGAGTCACGGGAGATAAGGCAGGAGGTGTTTGGTTAACGAGGCCAGCACCTCCCCCTGGGCCCCAGCCCATGACCAGGGCCAGACCAGCCAGAGGCTAGGAGTGGAACCTTCAGGGACCCAGAGGACTTGAGGGGGCAGGACGCAGTAAAGGGGAAAGAAAAGTTTGGGGGTCAGAGACATTTGGTGGCTTCGTGGCTTCCCATTTAGGAGTCAAGGCTGTTATTACCCAGTTATTATGAAGAGGGAATGGACGGAACCATTGAATGAACAGACCTAGGTTTGAAAGGGAGCTCTGGTAGCATAGTGGCTAAGGCACTTGACTGCTAACCAGAAGGCTGGCGGTTCAAATCCACCAGCCACTCCTCGGAAGGAAGGTTGGGCAATCCTACTTCCGTAGTGATACTGCCTCGGAAACCCAAGGAGGGGTCGCTATGAGTCGGGGCCGACTCGACGGCAAATAACAACAACAACAACAACAGGTTTGAAAAGCTGAGAAAATGTAGTCTAACAACATCTCGTCATGGGTTCAACTGTGTCCCCCAAAACAGGTTTAAGAAGTGCTTCTGACTGCTCAGGGAACTCTGGTGGCACAGTGGTTAAGGCATGCGGCTGCCAACCAGAAAGTCGGTGGTTCAAACCCACCAGCTGCTCTGAGGGAGGTAGATGAGGCAATCTACTTCTGTAAAGAAGTTGTTGTGGTTGTTATGTGCCGTCAAGTTGGACCCGACTCATAGCGACCCCTCCTTGGGTTTCTGAGGCAGTATCACTACAGAAGTAGATTGCCCCATTTTCATTCTGAGGAGTGGCTGGTGGGTTTGAACCGCCAGCCTTCTGGTTAGCTGTCAAGTGCCTTAGGCACTAGGCTACAGAGCTCCTCTGTAAAGATGTAGAGCCTTGGGAACCCTATGGGTCGCTATGAGTTGGAATTGACTCAGTGCCAGTGGGTCTTGGTCTCTCTGCTCCGCAGGCCAGATACCATCAGCCTCCTGTGCCCAGTGAACTTCGTGGAGCTAGGCCAGGGGGCGACCAGAGTGCTGGCTGGCCCACTTCCTGGAAGGAGCTGGTGGCCTGGCATAGAGGCATCTCCGTGTTCTTCGCCCAGGCCCTCAGACTCACCAGAGCTGCTCTGTGACCATAACAATGCTTTTGTTAATGACGGCTGCTGTGACAGCAAACTGGTGTGTCAGCTCGAGGAGGGCAGAGGGTGCAAGGCCCATTGAAGGTTACTAATGGGGACAGCCATGCTTCAGGGGCAGAACTTCTGAGTCCCCGCAGGAGACGCAGGCGCCACTCCCGGCCAGTGTGCCCCAGATGTAGCCCCACCCCCTGGCACAGGCCTGTGATGCTGGCAGGTTTCAGCAGAGCTTCCAGACTATGACGGAGCAGGCAGAAAGGCCAGGGGAGGGGCCTCCCCAAGTCAGCCAGTGAGGACCCGACCCATCGGTAACCAGTCAGGGGATGGCCCAGGACCCGCAGCGTGGACTTCCATGCGGCAGAGTGACTGGTTGTTGCTGTTGTTATGTGCCGTCCGGTCGGACCTGACTCATAGCGACCCCTCCTTGGGTTTTTGAGGCAGTATCACTACTACCTCGGAAAGGAAGATTGCCCCATCTTCCTTCCGAGGAGTGACTGGTGGGTTTGAACCACCAGCCTTCTGGTTAGCAGTCAAGTGCCTTAGGCACTATGCCACCAGAATTCCCAGAGTGACTGGAGGGATGCTAATAACAATAACGTTTAATGATGATGGGAAAGAACCCAAAAGGAGGGAGAGTCATCAGAGGTGCAAGCTCCCAGGAAGGGCCATGGCTGGAGACCAGGGCCAGGCACACAATGGGTGCTCAACAAAGACTTGGGAAATGAAGGCAGGGCTGTTGGCAAGATGGAGTCCAGAAGGCAGGCAGAGGGATTCCAGCTGCACTTCCTCCAAGACAGATAGATGTGTTTGTTCTTCCGGCAGTCCACGGTATATTCAGCAGTCCACGGTATATTCAGCATTCTTCTCCAACACAGTAATTCAAAGGCATCAATTTTTCTTCGGTCTTCCCTATTCATTGTCCAGCTTTCACATGCATATGAGGCAATTGAAAATACCATGGCTTGGGTCAGGTGTACCTTAGTCCTCAAAGTGACATCTTTGCTTCTTAACACTTTAAAGAGGTCTTTTGCAACAGATATGCTCAAGGAAATACGTTTGATTTCTTGACTGCTACTTCCATGGGTGTTGATTTTTAGATCCAAATAAAACAAAATCCCTGATAACTTCAATTTTTTTCTCCATTTATCATAATGTTGCTTATTGGTCCAGGTGTTTGTTGTTGTTGCTTTTGTTGTTGAGATGTAATCCACTGTGAAGGCTATAGTCTTTGATTTTCATCAGTAAGTGCTTCAAGTCCTCTTCACTTTCAGCAAGCAAGGTTGTGTCATCTGCATATTGCAGGTTGTTAATGAGTCTTCCGCCAATCCCGATGCTGCATTCTTCTTCATATGGTCCAGCTTCTCAGATTATTTGCTCAGCATCCAGAATGAGTAAGTGTGGTGAAAGGATGCAACCCTGATGCACTCCCTTCCTGATTTTAAACCATGCAGTGTCCCCTTGCTCTGTTCGAATGACAGCCTCCTGGTCTATGTACAAGTTCTGCACGACTATAATTAAGTATTCTGGAATTCTCGTTCTTCACAATGTTATCCATAATTTGTTAGATCCATAGTCAAATGCTTTTGCATAGTCCATAAAACATACAGAAACATCTTTCTGGTAATCTCTGCTTTCAGCAAAGATCCATCTGACATCAGCAATGATAACCTTGTTCCACATCCTCTTCTGAACCCAGCTTGAATTTCTGACAGTTCCCTGTCTGTGGTAGTTTGGTTTGTGTGTCAACTTGGCTGGGCCTGGTTGAGTGGCTGGGCAGCTGGTGGTAGTTAATGCCCATGAGGAGACTGGCAATTAACTCCATGGTGGGATCTACCACAAGCAGCTGGGTAGCTGCCTTTGGGATGTGGTCTTCTTCCTGCATATTAGGAGAAGCCTTGGGAATGGTCTCTAGCTTATGGCATGCTTGGACCCTGCATGTAGCCATGTCGTTGTTCAGCAGCCTGCTATGCTCTGCCGACCTTGGGACTTACAATGGACTTAAGTTAATGGCCTGCCGTGTGGTTTGGTAACATTGGGACTGTGCCTTTTTACTTGTCAGCCTTGGGACTTCTCAGCCTCAGCAGCCAGCAGCTGTCTGGGTGAAGAAACGCCTCTAGCTCCAGTGGGCCGGGAGCAGGAGGCAGAGCTGGACCCCAAGGTTGAGGGGCTTTCACCCAGCCCCTAGAGCCTGGCACTTTGAACTTGGACTTAAAGCCTCCAAATTGTAAGAATAAACTCCTGTTTGTTAAGTCCATCCCATTTGTGGTATATTCCTGTCAGAGTGGCACTAGGGAACCAGAACACTGTCCATATACTGCTGCTACTATTTTTGAATTATCTTCAGCAAAACTTTACTTGCATGTGATATTAATAATATTGTTGGGTAACTTCTGCATTCTGTTGGATCACCTTTCTTTGGAGTGGATACAAATATGGATCTCTTCCAGTTGGTTGGCCAGGTAGCTGTCTTCCAAATTTCTTGGCATAGATTACTGAGCAGTTCCAGGCAGGTTAAATTTGAATTTCAGATAAAGAACAGAATGATTTTTTAGTATATCCCATGCAACATTTGGGACATACTTAAAAAAAAAAAAAAAACTTTATCTGAAATTCAGGTTTGACTGCTCACCCTGCACTTGTCTGCCAGCCCTAGGCTGGGGCACTTGTTAGACACCAGAGGACCCCTTCCCCTGAGTATTTCGTAGGTCTGGGTGGAGCTAATCGTTGTGTAAAACTCTGGAGCCCACTCAGAGGTGCCTCGGAAGAAAGGGTTGGTGACCTACCTCTGAACCTGAGCACTGACTCCCTTGCAGAGCACAATTCTACCCTGACACAGTCGGGGTCGCCATGAGTTAGAATCGACTTGATGGCAAATTTGTTTGGGTGGGGCGGGGAGGGCCCAGCCAAGAAGCTGTATTTTTTTAAAGGGGATTCGGATCACCCGCCAGGGTTAGGAGGACTCCACTTCACCACACAGGCAGCTGGACCAGGCCCCTCTCCCTGTGAAAAGAAACGCATTCCCATCTCTCAGCCTTTAATGAGTCAGGTCACTAGGAGCCAGGCCTCCCGATCTGCCCACCCAGGAGACCTGTGGCGCAGCGGAGCCCTCCCAGGTGTGGCGCCCGCCGCGCCACAGGGGCCCGGACTGCCTGCTCCGCAACTTTCCGCACTCCGTCCCATTTCCTTTGCATCTACGGATTCTTCTGAGGCCCGACCAGCCTAGCCAATCTCTCAGCCCAAGGTGTAACTCTCCAAACCAACACAGCGGTAGGCGTCCTAAGCATTGTCATTTTAGCAAATTAAACAATAATAATAATAACACAGGAGACAGGTTAAACGAACCTGACAGCGGGAGGGGGAGACGGGTGGGTCCGAGGACACAGAGGAGGAGTGGGGCGGTTTTCCGCCTGTTCCAGGAGAGCTGCGGCCCCGAGTCAAGCCCGCCCGGCCCGGACACGGCCCCTCCGGCTCCCCAGTTTCAGGTGGAAGGGCGTGACCAGAGCGGCCTAGCCTCAGCCAATCACAGCTGGCCTTCCGGGGGAGGGGCGGGGCTTGGCCGCTTCAACGCCGCGGCCGGACCAATCCCTGCGCAGGAAGGCGCGGCCGCTCCCCGTCTGGCCCAGGTGCGCCCTCGGCTGGGCGAGCGGATGGAGCTGACTCGGGCGGTGTCAGAAGCTGAGTGTCCCAGGCTCGAGTTCCCGATGGAGCAGCTTGCTAACCCGACGCCGGAACCCGAGCCGGGCGCCGCGGAGGAGGCACCGCGGCTGGAGAGTCCCCCGCGCAGCCCTTGCTCGGCCGGCGGCGAAGGGAGGCGGCTCGCGCTCTCGCGACCGCCCAGCCTGGGCTA